TCGCGTTGTCAAAACACGCATTATAGCAGAACTCACTGTATGTCTTTATTATTATTACTACAGCTCCTCCCCGACTTACGACGGGGTTAGGAACCCAAAGCCAGGTCGTAAATCGAAATGGTCGTAAGTCAAAAATGCTTTATAATACAGTACACAGAAAATCTAAATGGGTCTCTTTTTCTTCTCACCACCACAAAACTCTCACTTTTAAGCTTGCCAGCCATTTTAAAGTGAATTACAAACGAAAATGTTGTCAGTACACAACGCAATCACTGACGTTGGGACTCGAAAATACGTAATTTGACAAAATTTTGGTACGACTGAGGCGGTCGTATGTCCGGGTGGTCGTAAGTCAGGGAGTAGGTCATAAGTCGGGGAGGAGTTGTATTACATTTCATTTTTTTTTTTTTTTATTATTATTATTATTATTATTATTTTTATTATTATTATTATTACTATTATTATTATTATTATTATTATTATTATTATTATTAATATTATTATTATTATTATTATTATTATTATTATTATTATTATTATTATTATTAAATTTTTGTCCCCCAGGCCCCGATGTCAGTCAGTGACCTGTGCCCGGGTGGGCTAATCCCGGTATATAAAAAACAAAACAAAATTTTCTTTTTTTCTTTTTTATTCTGTTCCATGCACACACAATTGTTGATGCAGAATGTGCAAAACTAAGAAACAAAATAAATGAAATGATTATCATGAGGTTAAAAATAGAAAGAGATTAAACATTTCTTACATTTTGCGGGAGTAAACGTGCAGGTTGTGGGAGGGAGGTGCAGCATCTGGGATCTCATCCTGCCCCTACTGGGCTAATATGTGTGCTGTGTTATTGTTATTTTTCAACTTGTACTTTTGGGTAGATACATGTAATTTTCTTAATTTATTTTTTGTTTTGTTTTTGTTTTTTTTACTTTGTTACATGCATATACAATTGTTCATACAGAATGTGAAAAAAAAATGCTCATCATAAGATCAAAAACATGAACGGGAATAAACATTTCTTACGCATGCAATAGTTCGCCCACAGATTGTGGGAGGAGAGATTGGGGGAGTAGTGTGGAGATCTCAGTAACTCCGGTTTCCCACATGTAGTGAAACTATTGTCAACTGGCAATGCTGTATTTTTTATTTTATTTTATTTATTCCTCACATTTACTGGTTCTACAGTATACTTGTACACACAACCCTGGTCCCCAATAGCCTCGAAAGTTGCCAGCTGGGAACACACCCTTCCCCCTCCATTTACATAAGTTTTTATGGAGAAAATTGCCCCAATACAAGTATACCCCGATAACCGAAGCATACAGGGAGTGTGAAAAGTTATTGGTTAGTGAATGAATGGTTCTCGAAGCAATTAATCCCATAAGAATATAAAAGATTCAGAGGGTTAGGAACTGGACACACCCCAATAACTCCCATCTACCCTTTGTCATGCACACTATCAACCAAGAAAATAAAGCAGATATTTAAAGCAAGCATAATCTGTCTTAAATAAGGAATGTAAAGCATAAATTTAGTTATTTACCTGTGTTGAGGATGGTAGAAACAGTCTAGGGTGGCAAGTTCAAGTCGCTACCATTTTTTGCTGGTCCCCCACCTTTCCTTCGGGGGCTTAGTCTTCCCATTAGACATCAGTTGCTCGAAGTCTTTGCATAGTATACCTAAAATGAATTTCAAAGAGGCTGTGATTTCTTAAATGATTTACATAATTCCATCTAAGATACAAAGCCTGTATCTATACATATGTGTGAGATTGAGTGTTTTTAAAATTCTGCTTAAATAACTAAGTACCGCTAACCCCTCTCCCCAAGCACCCGCCAGATGTTATGCGGTGCAAAAAATTCAATCACTCGTCAATTAGAATCAAAAAGTGACATCGCCAGTCACAAGACCATGTGGTCAGACACTAATACATTGGTACTCGTGTCTCGCAGGACACGTTATGACTTGTGATGTGGAGACAATATTGATATGATTTAACAACAGTGGGAGTTAGCACCCACCAAAACGTGGGTAGTGTACAAGAAGTAAATCTAAATTATTACAAATAAGTAGGTGGTGACATATAGTGGTTAGTGATTCATCCTGTGGTAGGAGGTCCCTGACAGTGGGACAGTCAAGGCAATAGTGTTGAAGGGTGTTAGCATTAGGACAGTTACAGAATTTACAGGGAGAGACAACATTATGTCTGTGGACCATTAGTCCATGTCGATGATATTTGTGTGAATCAGGAAGAAAGTGTTGGGTGGATATACTCTCAGCCTGTTCACTATCCCTGTGAATTGTAGGGAGAAGAGCAGCTGAACTTACTCTCTTTCTGCAGGTCATGCTGGGCTTATATTTAATCCTTGAAGATCCTGATTGAACAGCCATAATTTTGAGAATCAATTGTTGATTAATTTCAATAGAAAGATTTGTAAATAAACATGTGTAATGCGATGTGTCTTTTGTTTTATCTTTAGTTACCGGTAACTAGTTTTTTAATAATTTACTGTGGATTTATTTTAATATTTGAGACAATAATTTTGTTGTTACTTTTTACTTTCATTACTTGAGTGCTTTAAGAATGAAATATTTGTTTTACTTCTACTTGAGTACATTGAACTTTGGATACTTTTACTACTACTGTACTTGATTAACATTTGCCATTGAAACAATACTTTTACTTAAGTAACAAAATCTGTAACTTCTTACAACTCTGTCCATCACCACTCTTATAATCCCTTATGCCTTATCACTTCAAATCAGGCTGCCCTTAAGAGGGGCAGCACAAGAGAAACTATCACTGGGGCATTTAGGCATGTTTGCATAACACACGGAGTTGGAAATAATGAAAAAACACGAGGTTGGAGACACATGGTAGGTGTAAAGAAGTGCAGAGAAGCAGGAATGAGTCTGAGGCAGCACACAGAACCCCCTCTCGTCGCAAAAATTTACACCAGCCCACCACCAGCCAAATTCAAAACAACTCTGCCGTTCCTTCCCCGATCGTCGGATCTCCGGGGTATCATCAAAACTTGTGGGGTATTTCTCCTTCATGTAATTAGCTGTTAATGGGATGTCAGTTTTCGGGGTATACCTGTACAGCATGCCCTTAAAATTTGCGGGGATTACCCGGTAGGTTCTCAAAATGGCTGCGAATTGCCAAATCCGCGAATAACATTTGCTGACCAGGGGGAGGTACATTTTTTCTCATGTGCAAAGAAATGTATATTCCCTTTATGTGTTTGCCCTTAGGACAATTAGTTCTTTTACCTGTATTGTATATACAGTACAGGTATGTTGTGTGTGTCTACACACACACATATACAGTATACAATACAGGTAAAAGAAATTAGTCTCTAGAACAAATGGCTCCCTGTCCTGGCCACAAAAATGCCAGCATCTTTAAAACTACCCTTAGACATTCTTGTGTACATCCAGAGTGTCATTCGCTAATTTTCAGGGCATGCTGTATCCTCAAATTTGTTATTCGCAATGACTTCTAGGAACGTATCCATTGCGATAACCGGGGTATTCCTGGTATTAAGACATGATGCAGTTGAAATTATCATTACACATAATTCAGTTACTAATTGATTTAATATATTCACTTTTACCAGGGTAATTAAAATTTTTGTCTGTTTTCTCCCCAGCCTCTGTATTTAGGAGGCATTTTACAGCACAGTATCTCAAAAAGTTTCTGCTAGGATGGGTCCAATGACTTCCGAAATGCTACATGCAACTCGTGATGTCCCGGGAGGTTGATATACATGGCTCTGTGGCATACTGATCTTACTACAATTGGTAACCGGACATCATATTAATTACGCCAAAAGAAATGCACATTACATTATTTGTGTTAAAATATATACCAAAGTAAATGCATTTCCCACTGTCTATCATCTGTTGTCTTATAATATTTCACAAAGAGTGTGGACAGATACGTACTTTTTTAGATACTGTACATAAATTCTTTGTCTGATCATACCTGTATCTTGTGTTGTAATTTATACAGTATGTCATTTACAGTATTATTATATGTAGCTATACACTGTACTGTACCGAAGTATTTGATCATCCTGAGTTAGTACAGTAATTTGTTTTTACTTGTTCTTATTTAGTTCTTTTATAAATTCTGGACCTTAGTTATTCATCACCCAGTATCAACTCAATATATGGCAGTGCAATTTTGTGATTTTGCTTTGGGTAGTAAAGAAGACTAGTTTTTGTTTGGTTAATCTTCTGAATAAATTAAACATGATATCAACCTTGCTGGGTGTGTTCAGAAGAGGTACAGTAGCTGGACTCTAGTGTGATGGTGACATTAATTTTACGATAATTTTCATCCATTCCTCATCTATTAGTCGAGAGTTCTCACTTGAAAAAGGTCTGGTCATTTATGAAGATTTGATTCTGAAACTGCATTTTATTGCCAACCTCAGAATAAGACAGCTCAGAACCTTCTTTCCTTCTATGGGTTAGTGAAGAAGTTTGCCTGGAATGGATGGGACTGAAGTGTGGAAGATATGTGTGGCTGACTCAGAGGACATGTGATGTGTGCACTTACTTCTACTGCTCAGCAAACCTCTTCCCTTATCTGTCTGGTAGGGAAAAGTCAGGGCTTCTTATCAGCCTTTTTAGGGGTATGTTGTTGCTTTTTGGGATCTTTAATAATTGTGTAACTGTACTAGGCTGTACAGTACTGTAGATTAGTCCTGGCCACTAAGGACAGGACCTTGGTGAGCATTTGTACTTAAGCCACCAAATGCTGTGCTTGGCTGTAAAATGTGACCTCTGGATCACTCCTTTGTTTTTATCTCTCATTTTAATAGAATTTTTTTAAACACATACTGGAATCTTTTGATGACAGATGTATCAACATGTACATTTTGATGTTCAAGAATTAGTTCGTATGTTTTAGCTATTTCATCTTTCTTAGGAATTAATTTAATTTTTAAACTCTACCTAAATCTCTCTCTCTCTCTTTACAGAAAGATCCTGAAGTATGAGGAAGTGATCTGAACAAGCGATAACCATTGAATCTCATACTTGTGACCGAATTCACACAACATTCAGCAGTTAAGCAGCAACCTTGACCATGGCAGCTATATGAATCCAGTGATAGTGTTAAGACCTTGATGGACACTGTTTATCCCCTTGTTACTTAACGTAAACAGAGTTTAAGGATGCTTCCTTATTAGAGCTTAAAGTGTGAAAGTGCAAATAGAAATGGTAGTGATGTCTGTCCGGTGTAAGAGAAAATGAACTCGATGCACAACAGTTTTGGTGGGTCTGGAGGGTACCCGGGGCCCTACCCTGGCTATGTGCCGCCCCCAGCTGCCCTCCCCTACTACAACGGCTACCCAGGTGACCTGACTCAAGTATCCAGCCCCTATTATGGCAAGCCAACTGCCGTCCCTCCAGGTTATTCCTCAGGCATGGGCAGCTACTCTGCTCCACCCATCAATAACTCTTCTATGTACTATCAGCAGTACGGGCTGGGCTACCAGTACGGCTACACAAAATATGGCCTGGGATCGGGGCTGGGCTCAAGCCTGGGCTCCAATCTTGGCTATTCTTCAGAGCTTGCGGGAGCCTCCGGCATCACCCCACCATCCCTGGGGGGTCTGCAGGCTCCTACCACTGACTTAGGGCTAACTGGCTCAATGTTTTCTAAAGGAAAATTTAGTGGAGGACAAGGAAGTCCTTCACCACTGGCTAGTGGATTGGGAGTTGGCCATGGAGGATCCTCATCTCTTCTTTCACCTGTTACTTCCACTCCCCCATCACCTGGGCCACACAGTATAACAGGTGGTCTAGCAGGCACTGGGGCCACACCAAGTCCCCCAGTAGACATAATTGAATCCAAGAAAGATTTAGATAAGATGCGGCGGTGCCAGGTGTGTGGGCAGGTGTTCCGTCTGATGAGTGAATGTTTAGCACACATGAAGTCTGTTCATGCTGTGCATGAACCACCTCTCAGTATGTACAGCCTGCAACATGGTGCAGGGAGTCACCTCACTCAATCTCTTTCGTCTGCTGCTTCCTCAGGAGTTCCATCAACCCTCACATCTAGTTTAGGTCCTCCCAACAACACCAGAACAGGTGGAGTTGGTGCTCCAGACAGCCCTCTTATGGCATTAGAACGTATGGGTTGGGGAGAAAAACAGGGTCTACTCCCTTCACTGCATGCACCCCCATCTCCCCTTACACCCGCCTACACCCCAGCCCCAGCTGTCACCCCCGGGCCACAGCACCCGTCCACCCAGCACCTGTCCACTCAACGCTTGTCTACGCAACACCCATCAAATACACACCACTCATCCCAGCATTCTTCTCAACATCCAGCCTCCCAAACCCCACCTGCCCCACATCCACTAATGGAGACAAATCATGGTGACCACCACAGCACCAGAACCCCCATAAGTAGCTTATCCATGACATACTCCATGAGAGCAGACCCACATGTATCTCAGGCCCAGAGTAGACATGTTTACACTGCCTGTTCTGTACCAGAAAGCCTTTCTGTCAGTGACTCAAGAACAGAGGCGACCCTGAGCTCAAATTACATCAAGCCTCGGAAAAGCAATTCTTACTCTGTATCAAGCATCATTGGAGAAACAAGTGAGAGAATAGGTGAAAGAGGAAGTAATCTGCCTCAAGAGCCTTCAAATAGCTATACAGTTCAGAGTCCAACAAGAAGACAGCAATCACCCGCTACAAGACCAGTAGCAACAGACGTCTACGAACAACATAACAATATTAACGAACAAACTCAAGATAGCCACTGCCCACAAAATGCCTCTCGGACAGTCAATGAGGAGTATGCAGCACACAGTAGAGAAATGCCTCAGAAAGACCAGTTAATGACAAGTGAACAACAGAAGCAGCAGCAACAAAAACAACAACAGCAGCAGCAACATCATCATCAACAACAGCATCAGCATCAACATCAACATCAGCAGCATCAACAACTACAACAAAAGCATCAACAACAACAGTGTGAAGGACAAAAAGGTATATTAACACCCCGTGGTACACCTGATAAACAACCTGATGAACAGAAAATTGTGGCTGCAGATGATAAAAAAGATATGCCTGAAGACTTATCACAACATGCCCAGTCCTCTCCGGCTCGTAGTCACAGTGTTCTCTCCACGCAACACATATCCAGGGACGATGCTTCACTGGAACGTGATGAAGTCCACAGTGACAAACAAGAAGGCAAAACTCAACTTGGGAGACATCAAGAAGAAACTGTGGAAGCCTCTCAGGTGAACTCCCCTTCTCAACAGAAGGAGGAAGAGCAGAACAATGCTGCTGTTTTCCAGCAGCAGCAGCCTAGTCCACAAGAGAATATGAATCACAAGTCTATAACACACCCGGATACCATAGGATCAAGTGATCAGAGCCAGCAGCAGGGGAAACAGTCATGGAGTCCAGCACAACCGCACAGTTATGGCCCACAACAACAGGCAAGCTACCAGCCGAGTGAACATCAGCAAAAACAACATCAACAACAGCAGCAGCAGCAGCAGCAGCAGCAGCAGCAGCAGCAACAACAGCAGCAGCAACAACAGCAACAACAACAACAACAACAACAACAACAACAACAACAACAACAACAACAACAACAACAACAGCAGCAGCAGCAGCAGCTGCCACCCCAACAACAGCAGCAGCCATCACAACCACAGCACCAGCAAGCATCACAACAGCATCAACAACAACCACAGCAGCAGCTTCAGCAATCCCCACAAATGCATCAACAATCTTCACAACAACACCAACAACCTCCACAAGCACACCAACAACCACAACAACAAAACCAGCAGCAACAGCATCAGCAGCCACCACAGCATCACCCCCCCACTTCGCAACAACGCCAGCCACAGCAACAGGGTTATCCTGGCTGGTCTGGTGGTGTGGGATCTGGATACTCTGGACCAGGTGCTCAGTACTCTTATGGATATTCTCAGGGCAGCAGTGTTCAAAACACCACTGGAAACTCACATTCCCAGCAGCCCCCTATGGCAGCACACAAGTCTTCAAATTATCACCCAATGCAGAATAATTATGCTGGACCCTATGGAGGGCCCCCAGGTACTGGATACCCCCCTGAACTAGCCAGCAGAGGAGCATCAGGTCAACAGGGTTATCCTCAGAGTCTGTGGTATGCTGCTGGGGGTGCTCGAATGGATTCCAAATCAAGCTGGAATCTTTGGACTAGCCAAGTTCATCAGTCTTCAGGCTTTCCTCAGTCTTATGGCCCATTTTCTTATCCATCTCCCAGTCAACAGCAAAAGCCACAGCTACCATCACAGTTGCAGCAGCCATCACAGCAGCACCACTCACAGACATCACAACAACATACACAAACATCTCAGAAACAGTCACAACCATCTCATACACCACCACAACAAATGCTGCAGACTCAACAAGGTCAATTACAAGCTCAGACGCCCCAGCCATCGCAGCTTCCAACACCGTCACAGACTCTTCCCCAGCAACAACAACCACCAGCCCAGCAACCACAAGCATCACCACAACAGTCACAACCACCACAACAGTCACAACCATCACAACAGTCACAGCCACCACCACCACCACAACAGTCACCACCACAACAGTCACAGCCACCACCACCACAACAGTCACAACCACCACTACAACAGTCACAACCACCACCACAACAGTCACAACCACCACTACAACAGTCACTACCACCACCGCAACAGTCACATCCACCACCACAACAGTCACAACCACCACCACAACAGTCAACAGTCAACCACCACCACAACAATCACAGTCACCACTGGAACAATCGCAACCATCACCACCACAACTGCAACCACCACAACAGTCACAACCACCACCACTGCAACAGTCACAACTGCCACCACAACAATCACAACCTACTCCACAACAGTCACCACCACCACCACCACCACCACCACCACCACAGCAATCACAACCACCACCACAGTCACAAACACCACCACCACAGCCACAAACACCACCACAACAGTCACAGACACCACCACAACAGTCACAGACACCACCGCCACAGTCAGAAACACCACCGCAACAGTCAGAAACACCACCACAACAGTCAGAAACACCACTGCAACAGTCACAACCATCCCCACAACAGTCACAGCTGCTTCCACAACCTCAGCAGTCAGAGTCATTGCAACCAGAACCCCAGACTCAACCTTCACCACAAGATAACCAAGAGGAAGAGGAACCCCAACAGGAGGAACCCCAGCAGGAGGAACCCCAGCAGGAGGAACCCCAGGAGGAACAGCTTACAGCTAACCACCACGGAGAGGAGGAAGCCGACAACCCCGCCCTCCATCGGAAGTCGGTGGAGAATCATAGTATATACCAACACCAGGAAGACCTCCCTCTCACCACAAATAACACTCTTCCTAAGAAACCTATTTATAAGATTGGCCCTAAAAGTAAAACTCTGGCAGCTAAACAGTATAGTCAGATAGATGACCTAGATAATTACAAATGCACAATCACAGTGCATGAAAATGGTTCTGTGAATGGATATGGTGTTTTACCCACTCATCCTCTTGCAGTCAAAACCAATTCCCAGTCTTGTGATTCTTCTGATAGCGAAGTCAACAGTGAAGATGGGTCTCCAACTTTTGTGCAGCTCAGACCAGCCAAACGACGTCGGAAAAGCCAGAGTCGGGAGGGTGTGTTTATTGGGCCTAAGCGTGTAAAACAGGCTCGGCTCGTACGTGAACGACAGGAACGTCGCCATCGCAGTCTTCAAGAGCAGCTGAGGCAGAATGAATTAGAGGAAGAAATTCAAGCAATAAGAGTAGAGAAGTCAAGTGAGGAAGATGGCCCACTTGGCAACATGTTAGTTCAGTCATCAATAATCTTGGCAGACACACAGATGGAGGAGCAGGATAATGTTGAGCAGTGTGTTGCATCAATCAAGGCCCATCAGCTAGCCATAAACTCATCAGACATCAATAATGACCTTGAAAATTTTGATAAATCATCTTTGAATGCATCTGGACAGGGAGTAGGAAAGAAGGCTAAAAAATCACACACTAGTAAAGTGTTCCATAATGAGAACTCTGTGATCATCAAGCACCTTCCCCCTACAGTGTCTAAACGGAAACTGAGAGCTAAAGACTTTAAGTGGAGTCATTACATCAAATCTATGAGATACTGGTGTAGTGATTGCGCTCATGGCTTCAAAAACCAAAAGGAAGTTTCTTCACATTCAGAGGACAGATGCAAGTGGAACTGTCTCTACATGCTGGAGTGTTACATTATTGTGAAAGATGTGCAGTCTCATCCTCATTACGGACCCAAGGTAATATTGACATGTCCATTTATTGATGATTTATTTTTATTTATTTATTTTTTTTTTTTTTAATTTTGCATTTACATTTTTGGTGAATGTTCTGTATGTATAATTATGGTTCATGCATTAATATGCTTGCTCATCTGCAAACATAGGTATTTTAGCTAGCCTAAGCTGTGCACCTTAAGGTCTTGTGAAAGGCTGAATATACAGTACAGTATTAAAAGAATCTGTATTCCATTATTAAATTTTATCTAAATCAACTAATTCTGTTGTGCCCATTTGGTATGCAGTGCATAAGTTTCCAACCGCTATCATTTATGGAAAGCACTGCACAGTAGCTAAAACAACTATCTGTGCATACTTTGTGGGAAACAATATGAGACCATGGTCGATAAATTTTGGTATATATGAGGGCTGTCACTAGTCACACGTAAAATTTTGGAGCATATCGACCCCCACCTGCACAGATAGTTGTTTTAGCTACTGTACATGTGCAGTAAATATATATATTTGTAGTGTTAACCTTTACGTTAGGTATTTACAGTAGAAGTCCAAAAATCCGGACTGCTTGGGGATTGGGTTGGTCCGGATTTTCGGATTTTCCGGATTCTCAGGCAGTACTTTTAAAATTCAAATTTAAGGAATAAAGAAGAGATGAACAGGTACATTTTGATAGTTTATTCATTAGCAAATATAGCATGCTTCATTTATCAAAACGAGCAGTTTTAATGAAAAAGCTGTGAATTCTAGAATTTTATTCTTTGCCATTTTTATATCATAAATTGTATACTTTCCAATGTCGTATGTTTCCATTAGAACAGTATTGCTCACACCACGTTCTAGTTTCTTAATTATTTCAAGTTTGTCACTCAATTTCAACGTGTTCTTCTTTCTCTTCGCACAACGAAGTTTATCTACTTTAGTAGCCATTATTATGGGCTTGTACAGTACTCTGTAAATGGAAAGAGTAGGACTCAAAATATTGTTATATTATAATGGTATTCTATTCATACTGTGCTTGATATAATGCATTCACGGAAATGTAATATTTTTGCTGAAATGACGTACGTATTACAGTGGAAAGTGGGAAAAAATCGTGACGAAAACAATGACTTTCGCTTTCTTTCGTTCAAAAAATGTTACCGTAATCGCTTTTCGTATGGTTTTCAGTTAAAAAACTTTTGTATTACAATAATATTCTATCCTAATTGACTTGAATAAATACTACGATACCATATTTCTGAATATTTTCATTAAAATCCATCAAAATCATTTTCCTTTTCATCGTCTGCAGCACCAAACAGCTTCTCCCAGTCCTCTCCTCGAACAGGGCTAGAGGGTACGTGTTTTTCGAATCGTTTTCAGTTAAAAATTATTACATCACACGTATATTTTACCTAAACTGCGCCTGAATGAATATATTCTCTGAAATAAATAGTAGTTTTGCTGAAACGTGATGTATTTCAATGTAAAATAGGATAAAATACATGACGAAAACAAAAGACTTTACCTAAGCTTCCGATGTTCTTGAGATGTTACTCGTTTTTTTAATAGTTTTCGGTTAAAATTCTGTTATATTACAATGATATTCTATTCATACTGTGCTTGATATAATACATTCACGGAAATGTAATATTTTTGCTGAAATTACGTACGTATTACAGTGGAAAGTGGGATCAAATCGTGACGAAAACAATGACTTTCGCTTTCTTTCGTTCAAAAGATGTTACCGTAATCGCTTTTCGAATGGTTTAGTTAAGAAACTGTATTACAATAATATTCCCTCCTAATTGACTTGAATAAATATTTGAATGGAAATATACAATATTTTTGTTGAAACTACCCGCGTTTCAGTGTAAAGTGTCGTAATAATAAATGGTAAACAATTTGCCTTCGGCACTCGTGTTTCAGGCACGGCGAGCCTCGGTTTATAGGACGTAGTGTTTTTACTGAAGGTTTTGTTGTTCCATTACCCTCGAAAACGTGGGTCGAACTATAAACGAGGAATATCATGAATTAAAGATTTCTTGGTCAAAAAATCAGGGTCGACCTATAAACGAGGGGGGGTTATAGACGAGTATATACGGTATGTTGTCACAGTTTGATTGCTCGTTTAAAGTGGCGACCACGAGGTCGCTTGTTGTCGCTGTGCAGCTGTGGCGCTCACGCATGCTCACATACACACAAAAGCCCGCTAAAAAAAAAAAAAAAAATAGTTTTCAAAAAGTCCGGATTCTCGGGTGGTCCGGATTTCTGGCATCCGGATTTTTGGACTTTTACTGTATACAGTATATGATATAAGGGTGTGGCAGCTTAGTGGATATAACATACACCTTGTCCTAAGGGTCATTGCTTCAATTTTGGGGGCCTCCCAGTCCTCTTGGCTGCAAATGGGTACCTTATTTTACAAGTTGTTGAAGTGAGGCAGTCAAGGGCAGTGCTGGCCATGCTGCCACCCGTGTACTGAAGGCTTAGTACAGTATTGTATACCATGGCAAGACAGGGTCACTACTCCTTGGGGTAATCAAAGATTATTTGCCTACCTTATTGGGAGACACATTATTTTTGTTGTGATTCTATCTCTTCTTTCTGCTCTGTTTCCAATAATTGCCAGTATAGATATCCCCCTATTTATGATGGGGTTACTTTCCTGAAAAATCCATTGCAAGTCGAAATAACGTAAATTGGGATCATTGTAACATGGGGGTTCAATGGAATACATTCCCAGACAGTCCAACACCCACATGTATCACTGAAAATAAAATTACTACACTAATAATATACACAAAAAACAATTAAACAACACCCACTACATCATTATGAACAAGCCTGGTCGTTCTCACATATCCCTTTCGGGGTTAAGGGGACTCTTGCAGATGGAGTGGAAACGTTACTCTGACTCCCACACAGCTTCACAATGCCAAGCTTCACCTCCAGACAGACAGTTTTCCTGGGTGCTTTGGCATTCCTAGACATTATCAAAGTTACACTGCTCACTTCACAGTCACAAAAACAGAGCAAAAGCACTTGTCACAGAAACTGAACAGTGAGAGTAAAAACAATGATAGCAACCAACACTGCTCACATCATGTTCACAACAACAGAGACAAAGCACTCTCCAGTCACAAAAAGTATTGCAAAAATCACTTCACAGTCACCAAAACAGAGTACAGTATACACAGTGAAAGTTAGTGATGTCTTCTCGATGTAAAGTTAAAAAAAAAAAAATTAATAGCAACACCGATACTGACTGATAATCGTTGAGTTACTCGATCACGAGCATATGCTATCACCATGGAACAAAGTTTGGGACTCTAGTGCATTGGGTTGCCACTTAGTGACGTGCAGGTAGACCACAGCTGACAAGTGCGCTGAGTTATATTCCACTTTGGACGAATGATGATCAATGTTCATGCGAATTTTTTTTTCATAAATCGGGGGGTGTTAATACATCACCATCTTTGTATTATATATACTCTGAGCAACACTATTTTTAGCCCACAACACATAATGGTACAGTATATTGTGGTGATCACAGCCACACTTGTTATGTACGTGCATTATTATCGTATATCATGAAGTCTACATACAGTAATTGGTATTGTTAAGATTTGACAAGCAATGACAGGTATAGTCAAAGGTCAGTGATGTAAAGTACAAGTATTAGGGCATGTTTGAGTACATGTGTAAAATACTGTTTATTGATTTTCCACATATTGTTCTTATCATTGATTGAATATTATTGTAATTTATCACATTTCCCAATCAATAACAAGTAATATATGTACTGTATTTGTAATGGAGACACATATACAGTACTCTTAATACTTTCTCAATCTTTCAAGTGACACTTTGTACTAGTCCATGCATGCGGTAATAAGTTTTGAGTTACACATTCATGTGAACAGTACAGTATAGTCTGCATTTACGTGGTCAATTGAACCCGTGGAGGCCCGCGTAAAACAAGAAACACGTATATGAAATAACAGAACATATGGGATTAATTGAAATAGAGACTGGGCCGACCCCCAAACTTCACTTTTTGCCGACACAATACGTACGTTGTAGTAAAAATAGTATCTTAGCTTTATGATGGTATGCACACACACATAATATAGAAGATAAATATCAATAAGAGAATAATATACTGTACCAGGTAAAAGAAAAATCAAGGTTTAACACTTATGTTAGGTTAGGTTAGAAAAAATCAAGGTTAGGTTAGGTTTAACACTTACGTTAGTAGAAGAGATGGGTCGGCATACGTTGATGGGGGCTGGTTCCAAGGCAGATGGCAGATTACTGGCCCTCAGGTGAATCACCATCACTATCTACCATAGTTGTCAGGGCCTCCCTGACAAATCCCTCAAAGTCAACATCACTGTCTCTATCACTGGCTTGGGCTGGCTGTGGTGGGTTGCGGGCGAAGAAGTCCGTGATGTTACGCTGACGGCTAGTGTTGATGTGTTCGTGATACTTCTTGATGTATGGCTCCATAGTTTGCAACAGCTGGTTATTGAAGACTTAATAGCGGTGATCGTCAGGGTCGTTGGAAAGGACGAGCTTGAGTTTCTCGGCAAACTCGATGGCATCCTTAACATTACCATGTGTTAACTTATGTTCTTCTCGGGCTGCCGTACCACCTGCATCTTCACTGACGTCATCGTCTTCCAACATCTCGTCGGCAGTCACCTCAGGATCCCTGATCACCTCCATAATGTCTTCATTGGTGGTCTCGGAGAAGCCTGCAGCTGTAACACTCTGTGCAGCTTCTCTTGCAAGGCCCACTGCCACTGCAACAGACTGAACCTCACCAGTCACTGGTTGACTCTGCCTCCCACCTGGGATACCTTGCAACACATGCCGCCACGCTTGACGAATCGTTGTCACAGACAGCTGCCCCCATGCCTCCACCAAGAAATCAACAGTTTTCTTGACGTTGAATTTCTTCCAAAACTGTTTGACGCGAACTTCTTGCTCCGCCAACTCTTCTTCCTCGTCCTCGTCGC